ACTTTAGGCCAGGCATGGTGGCTCAAGCCAGTAATCCTAGCACTTTGGAAGGCTGAGGCAAGAGGATTGCCTAAACTCAGGAGTTTGAGACCAGCCTAGGCAACTTGGTGAGAACTCATCTCTACAATAAATTGAAAATTAAACCAGGCATGGTAGCACGCGCCTGTAGTTCCAGCTACTTGGAAGACTGAGGCAGAAGGATCGCCTGAGCCCAGCGGGTCGAGGCTGCAGTAGCGTTGAGAGTGCCACTGCACTCTAGCCTGGGAAACAGAGGAGAATTCACTCAAAAAAAAAAAAGAAAGAAAAAAAGAAAGATGCTACTTTAAAGATTCACTAAATAATCAATTATCTCCTGCTCAAAAATATCAGATTATTCTATCTTTTTACAAAGAAATAAGCTGGGCTCGGTGGCTCAGCCTGTAATTCTGTGCTTTGGGAGGCTGAGGTGAGTGGATTGCCTGAGCCCACGGGTTCGAGACCCGCCTGGGCAACTTGGCGAGACCTCATCTCTACAATAAATCAAAAAAAAGAATTTGCCGGGCATGGTAACGCGCGCCTGTAGTTCCAGCTCCTTGGAAGGCTGAGGCAGAAGGATCGCCTGAGCCCAGCAGGTCAAGGCTGCGGTGGCCGGGAGCAGCCACTGCACTCCATTCTGGGCGACAGAGTGAGACTCCAACTCAAAAAGAAAAAAAAAAAAAAAAAGAAACAGGCTGGGCACAGTGGCTCATGCTTGCAATCCCAGCACTTTGGGAGACCAAGGAGGAAGGATTGTTTGAGCTCAGGAGCTCAAGGCTAGCCTGGGCAACATAATGAGACCTCTGTCTCTACAAAAACATAAAAAAATTAGCTGGTTGTGGTTGTGCATACCTGTAGTCCCAGCTACTTGGGAAGCTGAGGCAGGAGGATATCTTGAGTCCAGGAATTTGAGAATTCACTAGGCTATGATCCCACCCCTGCACTCAACTGTGGGTGACACTGCAAGATCCTGTCTCTAAAACAAAACAAAACAAAATTACAGTAACTCAACAATGTAAATGCTGAGTGAAAAGTATGCATACTGGACTTGGATTAGTTTTGCTACTCAGTAGTTTAGGATGTCCTTTAACCTCTCCAAACTTGTTTTCTCATGTGTGGTGGACAAACATGACAAGGTAAGAGGACTTATGGAAATCAAGTCAATTTAAGTGACTTGAAAACTATGGACTACATACATTTAGGGCATTAATAATAAACAGCCATAGATTTTCAACAATCTGGCTCATAAATTTATGCCAAGTATTCCAAAACAAATAGTTCTCTATTCCTTCTCTTATTTTTATGTATTGAGTCAGAGTCTCACTCTGTTGCCCAGGCTGGAGTGCAGTGGCACAGGTCATCCTTCTGCCTCAGCATTCCAAGTAGCTGGAACTACGGGCACGCACCACCATGCCTGGCTAATTTATTGATTTACTGTAGAGACAAGGTCTCGCCAAGTTGCCCAGTCGGTCTCAAACCCCTGGGCTCAGGCAGTCCTTTCACCTTGGTCTTCCAATATGCTGGGATTATGGGTGTGAGCCACTGTGCCTGGCTTATTTTTATTTTTTTACCTCAAAATCATTTGGGGCAAAAAGCTAGTATCTGGCTGAACATTTGAAAAAGAAAACTACACTACAAAACTTTAAAGTAGTGATGAACAACTCAGAAGCTACATTAACTATATACTTTATTTTGAAAAAGATGCTATATATCAGTTTAGTCCTTAAACTATGATAAAGTGCAACAGTTACAAAAATAGAGGTTCTGTGACTTATAATAAATCTTATTTTTTTCCCGCCTCAATAAATCTTTTTTTTTTTTGAGTTGGAGTCTCGCTCTGTCACCCAGACTGGAGTGCAGTGGCCGCTCCCGGCCACCGCAGCCTCCATCTGCTGGGCTCCTGAGATCCTTCCGCCTCAGCCTTCCGAGTAGTCAGAATTACAGGCGCGTGCTACCATGCCCGGCTAATTTTTTTGATTTATTGTAGAGATGAGGTCTCGCCAAGTTGCCCGGGCGGGTCATGAACCCGTGGGCTCAGGCCATCCACTCACCTCAGCCTCCCAAAGGCGTGGGATTACAGGCTGAGCCACCTAGCCCGGCTAAATCTTATTTTTAACATGAACATTTAATCTTTTTTTTTTTTTGAGTTGGAGTCTCACTCTGTCGCCCAGACTGGAGTGCAGTGGCCTCTCCCGGCCACCACAGCCTCGACCTGCTGGGCTCCGGCAATCCTTCTGCCTCAGCCTTCCGAGTAGCTGGAACTACAGGGGCGCACTACCATGCCCAGCTAGTTTTTGATTTATTGTAGAGACGAGGTTTCGCCAGGTTGCTTGGGCAGGTCTCGAACCTGCGGGCTCAGGCAATCCACTCACCTCAGCCTCCCAAGGTGCGGGTCACCGAGCCTAGCGAACATTTAATCTTATCTACTTAACTACAGTTCTTAAGAATGAAGGGTTTAAACAAATTATTACATTTACATAGCATTTTTGTTTTCAAAAGGCACTTCCATATTTGATGGTCAGCAAACAGATATGGTAGACATATATCATTCCCATATTATGGGTTAAGAAACTGAAGTTCAGAGATTAATTTTCCCAATTGAATGATGAGAGGAAATTAAAGTGGAGGGATGATTCCCAATTCTACATGGAAAGAAAGCAATTATTTGGATGCTCCAGAGCAAAGGAAGTCTCAGACTTCTTTTTTATTTTTTATTTTTTTGAGTTGGAGTCTCACTCTGTTGCCCAGACTGGAGTGCAGTGGCTGCTTCCGGCCACCGCAGCCTTGACCTGCTGGGCTCCGGCCA